TTCTGTAAGTTCAGGTGATCTAGCCCAATGTCACGCACATATTGGATCAGAGAGAAATGGATCAGGCAGAGAGTTAGATCATTCTGTAAGTTCAGGGGGTCTAGCTCAAAGCCTCGCACATGATGAAATCCAATGGTTAAAACTTGGCTATATTTTACTACTACTCTATTTTGAGCACGAGCTAATCAGACTGTTCTATAAGTTTAGGTGGTCTGACTATAGCCTATCACAACCTAAAGAGAGTATAACTAATAATAAAAATGGTGGTAAACTGGGGCAGACTGAACTCAAGTTAGTTCAGTCATATGCAGCCTTAGAAGACGAAAGGGAAGACAAGTATATATAACATGGCTATCTTAAACAGTTCAGGGCGAGTAGGAGTGGTCTAGTCATATGCCCAAAGAAGAGAAAAGTAGTTGTGCCCTTTGTTTTGTGTATATTCAATGGCTAAGTTAGGCGCATTCCATAAGTTTGGGTGGTCTGACCTTGTGCCTTATTTAAGCTGGGTATTAGGGGTTAAGTTATTGAAAGATTATGAACTATTATCTGTCCAGATGAACTTGGGATGGTGAGAGTACTTACCTCTGTAGTTTGGCCTGCATGTGGCTGAGTGAGGTAACTACTTGGTCTGAGTTTCAGTTTGATAGGTAGCTCCTTTAGTCGCTCGCCATGTGATAGAGCTATAGGAGTTAGTTTCAATTCCTCCATTTTCTGAGATAAGTTTTGTTTACTTAGATCAATTCTCGCATTTTCTGGGATCATTTTTTGTACTTGGCTTTGTATGAATCTTGGCAAGCTACTTTCTCTACGGGAAGCGCTGCCAAAATTTCTACAAATCCAAGGAGTTAGTAAACTGTTGACTTGTCAAAGTCCAACTTGTCTTTTCTTTATATCTGACCTAGTAAAAATCTGGAAAGTCTCCCTTTCTAAAGGGAGTGTTGCCCAAATTTTTACTAATTAAGGGAGTTAGACGAAATTGGACTTTGAGAAGTCAAAGTTATTCTCAAATTCTGGAATTAGCTTTGTATAAATTTTAGAATAGTACTTTTCGAAAGGGAGTGTTGCCGAAATTTCTGCAAAACTAAGGAGTAAGTTAAATCTTGTCTAAGTTGAAGCTCGAGTTGTCTTTTCAGTTCATATCTGACTTAGTATAAATCTTGGAAGTCTCCCTTTCTAAAGGGAGTGCTGCCCAAATTTCTACTAATTCAGGGCGTTAGGCAGAATTTGACTTTCCAGAGTTAGAGATTATTTCTGCTTTCATATATGGACTTCTATAAACTCTGGAAAGACACTTTTCCTACGGGAAGCGCTGCCGAAATTTTTTTAGTTTAAAAGAGATAGATTATATTTTGACAGGTAGCGATTTTTGATAGTCCACTCTGTATGGGGGAGATTTTGTCATATTGCTTAGAGGTAGGCTTCGATATAGTTAACTAGGATGATTTCGGTAAAGATCATGATATGGAGATTTTTCTCCATGGACTTATAGGTTTAGCTTGGGGCATTGACCTGTCATGTGTTACAGGTCCTCTTGATCGTTTGATTCAAGATCCGGACTAGATTCCGCTTGATCCCTTGAGGGTCATCTTCTGTTATCATTGATAACACGTCGGTTCCCGACTCATCGGTTTACGATTCAATTCCAATTCACCCATGTCACTCAACCTAAAGGTTTTAGCCTTGTAATTGAACTGTTTTGTTGTGTTTTCACCCGGACTTTATTGAATGGCCATCCAACAAAAGTACTGAGTATTTATTTAAGAGTTGCACGAGTGAGGCTTGTATGGCTAAAGCAAAGGGTATGAGTGTAAGGAATGGTTGAAGTTGACCCCGTGTAGTGCGTGGACTTCTGGATGAATCTTTGATGTGATTGCAGGTGCGTTTGTGATTCGGACTATGGATGTGATTGTCTGCGATTACATACATATATGGTTGGAGGGTGCGCAAGGGCTAGCCAGATTATGGCTTGAGAGAAAAAGGGAGATTCTCTTTTATCCTTTGCTTCTTAGAGATTTTCATGGTCGGACGTTGGTCCTGGGCCGGGATTCAAGGTCCTTGTCCAGGACATCCCAAGCCCTAGACTGTGCAGGGAAGGAATCTGCCCCCGTGCGGAGCCTATTTGCCCCACTCTGCACAGAGTGCAGAAGAGGGTGTGTGGTCTTCAACCGCGCTTGGCGGTTGTCCAGCGTCGACAGATTAACCCTCAAGGCGCGTGTCAGCCGACACTTGAGTGTCGAATGCGACCCTCGATATTAACGAGGACCGCACAATTATGGGCACTACATAGTACGCCATCATTGCGACAGTCACTTCTTGCGCACACTTGCATTGCGAGTCGATATGAGATAGCCCTGCGTCCGCACGGTTTTTAACTAAGCCTCGCGCGCGACGTCTATCCGATTTCCGGACCGGAGAGATATGGGATGGTCACCGGGGGACTAGGAGCGTTGTCGCGTTGTTTGTATTCTGTCGTTTCATAGGTGTGCGCGTGGTGTGTGGGATGCGTCCTAGTCGACCGACGACGGGCCGCGCTCAGGACTTCAGCCCCCCAAGATGTCGATTCGCGTGCGGGTCCGATAGAGGCGTACTACCGCGCATACCCCCCTATGCTACAACGAACGAGAAACGCCCTCGGCTGGTCCACCTCTGCGATTGCAACTGATTAGCTTCCGTACTGTGGACTGGTAGCTCGACGGGGATACGCCCACCGAAGGGAGGTGACAGCTCCCGTAAGGTGGAGGTAAGTCGTGCCTCGCGTAGGCCCTATCCTGTCGTAGGGGCTCGCGAGAGGTATGGCTGGCGCACTCGGCCGGAGCGGCTTGCGGAAGCTCTACATGTATATTTGTGACGAAGGATTTAAACCAACTCCTGCGTGACGCGGCCGGGAGGGTCTAGCGCTGCCCTGGTGCGGTGCCAGACCGATGCGCTCGACAGGTGGCGTTGTTGCCGGGGATAACGGCTGCCTACCGTTGTCCCTGGTGGAATGACATCCGAGTATTGGAATGTGAGAAATAGGCAAAGTAAGAAGTTTCTCTCAGCTTTCGTGGCTAATCGATTGTTGGTATTGGATAGAGACCGAGTGAGGGGTGATTGTGCGAGTTGGTTTTGTTCGGTGCAGTAAGGGCGGCGCGATAGGGATAAGCTTTGACTATGCGTCCATATACGTTGATTATTCGCGCACGTACTTCGACTATGCACTGGCGTACTTTGACTAATATGACGGTAGTTGGAGTTGATACCTTTTCTGACCCCGATAGTTGACAGGTTTGGGCAATGATTTGCATGTTTGATGCGACTAAGGTAAGATGGGGTGGTATCAACAAAGCTAAGCGTGGTGGTTGTGGGAGTTGGCCGTGTAAGGTGCCCATTATGGCTAAGGGAAGTTACCTGAGTGATTAAGGGTGCAATATAGCACTTTGGCTTTAGGGCGAGGCATAGAATGAGTAAAGGAAGCCTACTATCTTAGAAGTCGTCTAGGGACTTCGAGGAGAGTTAGGCTAAGAATATTGAGAGTCTGTATAAATATGAATTGAGATCCTGGAATTTGGGTTCTAAGCAATTGTTTGAGTTATATAGCCATGAAAGTCTGAGGCTTGCCCAACATGGTAGGTTTGAAACTAGGCGTATAAGGTAGCAAAGAGATGTAGTGAGCACCGTGGAAAGACCCTAATAGAAAGGACTACGGGAAGTAGTAGACTTGCGTAGCGCCTGTTAAAGGAGGGTAACTGATGCTAGAGGTTAGTCGGAGTAACAGTGAGGGAGCTAACACTTGGACTATTTTACTTACCTTTAATAGGGCAATGAGTTGTAATTGATGTTAGACCTTCGCACGAACCGTTTCACGTTTGGACCATCCACTTAATAGGAAGCTAAAGACTTGAGACCATTTGTTTTGAGGATGTTACTGTGAGTTATATATTGGACTCATCTATGGATGTCAGACCTTGTAAGTCTAGTTTACGCCTAATTATGCGAAGTTATATGTTTAAGTAGATATCCTTTTCAAGAGTATTTCGTGTGGGTTATTTTATTGGGATTATGTTTTGGATCGTACCAGTCTGTAGAAATTTATATGAATGTCTCCAGTCCAGCATTTGGCTCATGGTTGGCCATTAAGTCTGTACGTTTGATCGCTCTTCCAAGAGGGGTAGGGATTGTCATTTTAATAACGGAAGGCGCGTGCTGGACGTTTGTCTGTGATGGGCAGAACCCAGACAAAGCAAAGGCAACTCGGGATGCCTTATGCACGGGAAGACCCGTGTATGCTCAGAACTATTGAGACAGAGGAAGGGCTCGAGAAGTCTTTACCCAGGCGGGTCAGAGCAGGAGAGTACCTCTCTTCATGGTGGGGTATGTTGATGGGCGCGGACATCTTCGCCTGGATCGAGTCCGGATTTGATGATGGGCGGGAGTGTGCGATTGTAAGGGTGACGCTGTATGCCTCGCCCTCATTCTGGATCAAGCATGGGATAGAGTTGGCGCTTGGGCATGGGAGCCTGCTTGTTAAGCCTTTAAGGGTAGCTGAGGCAGCTGCAGCAAAGTGGGCGAGGGAAGTGTTCCGTGACGAGGAAGAGCAAGTACTAACCCGTGTAGAGGTTAAGTACGCTGGAGAGTTCGCGCTTCCATCTGCTCCACTGCGAGTCACCCTGCCTGAGTTCCTCATAGATAAGAGTTTTGGTGGGCAGGCGAGGGTAGAGGAGGCAGCTGAAGCTGCGTTGAGGGCGCGGGGATAGGAGTATGGGCGCTATATGTGCGAATTGATATATGACTTGTGCTTGGACCCGAGATTCTCGCCCCCTAGTCAGTGGCTCAGGAACACAGCCAATATAGTTGACGTATATGTCATTTCTCATGATCCAAATGAGGAAATTGATGACTGGGATGGGCTACGGGCAGCAGTGGACTGATAGAAGGGGCCTTTTATCGTCCTACTAAAGTGCTCTCCTTCAGACTTGACTATAGGCCTCTCACTACCTACTGCCGTAGTGATTACTATTGTCTGCCTATGATTAACCTTGAGGAACCTTGTCAGTATAAGATGTACACGGCCTATGGTATTGCGAAGGCAAGTGTAGGGGTAAGTTTAGTATGATAGGTTCTGTATTTTTTGATACGTGACTCATCTTGAGTCTCGACGTTAACCAATCGTTGTTTGTTCAACAGGTGATGGGATCGAAGGAACCTGAGATGGAAGGCCTGCGAGAGAAGAATGCGGTCAAGGAGCCCGCTCATTTGCCTAGTATGCGGGATTGGGAGCGAGCGAACACACCCAGAGTGGAGATTGACCTCTTCAACGGCTGCCATGTCTCTGACTTCCTCGATAAAGTTGAACAGATGGCGTCCCAACGCGAATGGAATGAGGAGCAGATRTTAGAAGAGGTCATAAGGTTTATCCATGTAGATCTGAAGGAGGAAGTCGGTGGATTGATCAGAAAGGCGGAGTCATCATGGAGGAGATTCCATAATGACATGAGGAATAAATACCGACTGGGTGAAGAGCAATCGACCAGGGATGATCTTGAGAAGATAGAATGGTATGATTATGTGTCAGCAAGGCAGTTTCTGGCGGAATATGAGCATGCTTCACTCAAGGTTTGGGCACTGTCAGAGCATGGCAACTGTTTTGTCTTCCTTATGAGTTTTACGGGTGCAGAGCAGCGAGACTTGATCCGTGGGACAAAAGGAAGACTTATATGGGATAAGATACGAGAAAACTTTATAAAAGGAGATTTTGACCAGCGTCTCTGCTATATTCTGCGCGAGGCGAGGAAGAAAAAGAAGTTGAGGCACTGTGAGAAGAGAGGTGAAGGCAAGAGGGTAGTTGAAGAAAAAGAGGAGTATGAACCTCCCTGGTCATCAGAGGCTCGATCGACAGGACCATCTTCTTCCCCTGCGCTACAAGAGTCGCAGAGAAGTGTGATGGAAAGAGGAAGTAGAAAGGAGCGCAGAAAGAAGAGGATACGAGACTGGCGGTCGAAGGTAGTATGTAATTACTGTGGGAAGGCCGGTCATACACCTCGCAGGTGTAGGGAAGCAAGACAAGCCCGAAAATAGAAAAGGAGAGGAACGATAGGGAAAGGGGCGCGATCAGCGCGATATAGTCTAGGCTCAGCTGAAAGTAGAGGCATTGAGTCCAGACGACTTAGACAACTGGGAGTTGATTGTGGGAGAGGGAAAACAGATTGGAGGGGAACTCTCGCAATAATGGTCCGATAAAGTAACTTGGGATGTAGACAGGAGTAAAGCTCAGCCATATAGGTGAAGCTAGGAGTCACTGAGATAAGTGATTAGGGACTGGTTTGCCTATACGTCAGCAGAATCAAAGCTTCTTGTGCACAGTTAGGTGTAGTCGTGACTAGTTTGTCCGTTTGTACATATGTAGATTGCAGTACTAGACGAATCGTTTGTTTCCTTTTTTGGTGTGATTTAAGTGGTTGTGCCCAAATGGGTGATGTGTTGGTGTGTACAGTTGGGATAGATTGCGTGATTTGAGCTTTTGTGTATGTTTGGGGTATATTCTGAGGTACTCGTGTGTTCGAGACATGGGTTACTCAACAGAGTGGGACGTGAGGGCGGGGTACCTATGGTGTTCTTGAGAGAGACATTTTATCGTGGTGTACATATTGGGTTGAGACCCTATGAGGCTTGGTTTTGTGACGATCACTATCACTCTCACTTGTGTGGCTTTATCCTCATGAATGTTGGCTTTGCGTGAAAGATGTGTGAATGTGTGATATGTAAAGCTGCCTACACCCCGGTATACTCATGCGACCTGCTCACGGGCAGTTAATGGGGCAGAGTATAAGGGGAGGAAGTGCAGTCCGTTTGTGAAAGGTTGTAAGGACTTTTAGAGGATTTATGAGTCTTTGAGACTCGGGTGCTTGACCATGCCGGTTGTTGATTGCTTAAATTGTGACGAGGACCCATAAGATGGTCTCTTAGTGATGTTTTGTTTTATGATGAGACCCCCTTGATTTTTGGAGAAGGGGTGGTATGTGTTATAATGAGACCCTCTCGAATTTTTAGAGGAGGGGATGTTTTGTTCTATGATGAGACCCCCTTGGATTTTTGGAAAAGGGGATGGTTTTATTGTTGGAAGACTCACCTTTATGGCATGGTAAATTGTCTGATGAGTGATAAAGTCTGACGAAAAGGGCCACATTTGCTTGGAATGTTTGAGAAGGTCGCAATGAGTGCAGGGCGAGAGATGTATCAGGATGGGTGACTGTTGACTCTGATCAAGCCAGGGGTCACGACCTTGTGGACCTAGCGGTGATTTTGTTTGTGAGCGTGCGAAGGATGCCATGCCTTTTGTGGGAGGGTTGGTAAATGCCTTCAGACCCCTACGTAATCGCGCAGTTGGCCCGTAATTTTGTTTTAGGACGCTCCGTCTAACCACCTGTGCTAGTTCTGGGACATATTAAAAAATACCAAGCTAAACGGTACGGGTTAGTACCTCTAGGGCGTAGCCCCAGAGGTTGGCTGCTAGCCGGCGCAACCTGGCTGCGGGACCGCGGAGTAAAAGTTTAAGGGGAGTTGCCCGTCCCAGGGAAATTACTCCATGGGATAGTGAAGGTTGAGAATTTTGGGGGAATCCTGATTGAATGCTTATCAGGAGAAAAACCTATCGTTGCATAACCAACGAGGGTACTGCCGCTATAAATAACAATGCGGTGGGTCGTAGTCCTGGTCCAATCAGCCAGGCTATGGTGGGCCAAGATGGAGACCTAGCCTTTCTGTACTGGACTGCAGAAAGAGCGGAGTGGATGTTAAGTATACATATATACGTATGTGTATTTGATTATGAGAGGTTTTCTGAGAAGGAAGGTGAGAGTGCCTTCGAAGGTCTCGGTTAGGGCCCGCATCCCTAGTTTTAGCCAGGGCTAGGGACACCCAATGAAAAGCCGAAGGTTGTCTAGGACCGGGGAGAGGACGATTGCGAAGGTCTTTGGAACTTATGCCGTCAGCGTCCTAATGCTTGGGCGGTGAGGGCCCGGGTTAAAAACCTGGCAGCGTATAGTTGTGGAGGCATGGTTTGATGGAGGGCTCTACCCTGTGTCTGTCGGCTAATCGGATTGACTCCTTTCTCGTCAGCATTTGGAGTGTGGATGAATTTATAGCTTCTGATTTGGCGAAGCGACGGGGACGTCGCTAATATGGTCCGGTAAGTTGTCGGCGCGAATACCCTTACAAGGGTATCCGCCCGGGTTTTTGCAAGCGGCATAAAATAAGTTTAGTCTAAAGCTTAAGTATACCGCGCTAGGCGCGACTGCGTTTGTGATTTACACTGACTGGATGGTTAACTAGAACAGAGAGTGTGTGGGCACGTGAATTTGAGGCGCGCGTGATCCTCTTTGTTTGTTGATGGCTAGAGAGTCGGCGTGATCGCCGACCATAAAATTTCTTCCTTCTGATTAAATAGGGACTAAAAAAATTATGTCTTGTTGATTGGGGTGCTTGCCTGTGACCTGGGCGTACGTACGGCGGACGACATCGGCAACAATGTGACTTCTGAGAGCGTTTCGGGAGGCCAGTGCGTTGCACTGTGCCCGTTTTATTTAGACGTCCGTCCGGGCAAACCCAAACTTGGGCCTAGCGTTGTTGGTTACGGCATCAGACTTTCATCAGGGAGATTCAGGGATCGAGGACGAGCAGCGACAACGCGGAATATCGGAGTGGCGCAAAAAGGACGAGGGGTTGAGGGCCTGGCGGGGCTATCCCCCTTGGTTTTGTTATCGGTGGCGTGAAGGCGGGGCCATCCCCCTTGGTTTTGCCGTCGGCGGCGTTAGGACGGAGCTAACATTTTTGTTTTCCCCGTTCGTCATATCTTGACGATCAAAAGTCCCGAGTAACTTAAATTCTGCCATGCTATTATTTTTGCTTTAGTACCTATCGACTCAGGCGCGACCCCAGATTAGGGAGTCAACACGACGGTCAAAGACCTTGAGCACGAGCCTCCTTTTGGTTGGTTTACGAACCTCCGTGCATTCGGAAGGCCGGCAAAATTCCCCTATCCTGCCCATCATGAAAAGACGGGCCGAGGTGTTCAACGTGCATGCGAGCCGGCGGGCGAGTTTTGCCCACGAGACGGAATAAACCTGAGCAGCGAACCCCCTTTTGCAGGTGCACCGTCTGCCACCCACGATCAACTTAGAGAGGTTTGAGTGTGAGCGTACCCGCCAGGGCCCGCAAGATGATGAAATATGCCTGGGCGGGGTTATTTTTTTGGGCCACCTGTGGGATGCTGCCGCACTGTTTGACTGTGCGGCCCAAGCCTGTCCCAGTGGCTGTTCCCACGGGACCCGCATCACTTGGGCTTACGCTACAGACTTCGCAGCGGGGCCCGCGCCCTCCTACTCGCTGCAGCGTTGGGGTGAGCCAAAGGTCGCGTTACGGTGCCAGACTGCGTGCAAATCGGGGGCCGGGCTGCTGTTGCTCGTGGTCAGCATCGAGACCCAGGCGATATTTGTCATCCTGACCTCGACCCTGCTCGTCGTGAAAATCGCTTCCTTCGGAAGATGCACCCAACCATCTCTTAGCGAAAGGTGCACTCTCAGTCGTGGCCTTTGAGCAGGGAAGAACATAGTGGAGCTGGTGTGGGTTTTTCAATGGTTTAGCGGAAGATTCGTTCTCATCTGACGCAGGTGGTGAGTGGTGGAACAATCCATGTACCCCTATTCGGGATCAGCATGCTGCTCTGCTTCGTAGTCTTCGTCGCGATGTTCGTGGAGCTTTGTCGTTGTTTCCACTACGATCGCCCTGCCCCTTGATGAAAGTGCCAACGAGTAAGCAGTGGAAGGAGGAGCAGGGGAGTTAGAGAGGGACTGCCGACCTTACTTCGAGAAGGTGCATGGCCATTTTTTGTTGGTGAACTGGCCTCAGACTGCTGCTGTCGAGGGTAACCGTTTTGCTGTGTATTTGAGCCCAGCTGCGAAGATCAGGTGCTGACTGCTGGGCCTTCCAACGAGTTGTTGTTGGTAGTTGCAGTCGTGGCAATTGCTGTGTCCGTTGTGTTTCACATTGCACATTGCTGAGTACAGCAAGGTGGCACGTTGTGTTTGGCCTTGTGCACTACCACGGTACCAAGCTGGAGCACGCTGTTGCTGTGCATAGCCGGCCTGATCGCGTCTCCGGGTGCGTTTCGCCTCGGCGACTGCTTGCCACTTGTCGTGCCTGCAGTCTTTGACCGATACTAGTAGCTCGTTCGAGAAGAGCATAGGCATGTGCGCTGATTGAATACAAACTTACTAAGTTGCATGGCTACAACTCAGTTAGAAAAAAGAGTACGGCGGTCAAGGGGGAGGTTGTTGTTGCAATTGGGAGGGTCGTTAGGAAGTGAACAGTCGGGGATTTGACTTCTGACGACCAAGTTGTTGTGCGTTTTGGCCGCCATTGCGGGGCCCTCAGGCGAGTCAAGGCAACAAGGCCCTCTCCTGGGAGTTGAATTGTCCCCCTCTTGTATCTCGAGCGTCTGAAACCCCTCATTCTATCCTTTTTTGACTCTAAGTCTAATCCTGATCTGAGAGGAAGGCGGCAGGCAGGATTGCAACCCGTAATCCGCAGAAAGACTCTGTGGGGAGTCAGCCCACCGATTGCGGGAGCCCTGCCGGAACTCAAGAGGCGTTCTGGAGACAGGGAATTGTAAGGTAACCATTGCTTTCCCTCTATAAACCCAGTTATAGCCTCTACCTGTATTTCCCATTGCATCTTTGACTGAGTATATGGTGTGCAGCCTTACTTTGACTTTTGTTTGACTTTCAGGACACTGAATCAGACTAAGTAAAAGAATGCTTGCTCAAGTTCAGTTTCAACTTTGTTGATTGAATGAAATCAGACTGTTAAAAGAAACAACATCTGGGAAGGCAGGATGGCGGACTAATGTGCATGATGGTTGACTGGGTCACTAAGGCTGGGCGGTCTTCATAAGTTTGGGGAGACTCAGTGCTTTGTTTATTTTGGTTTGTATGGAGCGTCAGACCCTTCTATAAGTTTAGGGGGTCTGATTGCTCATAAAGGATCAGGGTGTTCTATAAGTTTAAGTGGCCTGACTGCTCTGACTTGTGAGGGCTGACTATGGTTGACTTTTCAGGGACCAAGTACATTCTGTAAGTTCATCTGCCTTGGTCGCCTTGTTTATTTTGGGTTTTCCTCTGTTTATCTGGTTCTGAACGAGGAGATCTGAGTCATTCTATAAGTTTAGGTGACTCAGTCTCTTCCTGCTTTTATTCTGAGAAAATGAACCTGACAAAGGGGAGATT